GACATATAATAATCAAGAGTGAGAAGAATCAATTGGTGGAGTGCAGGCTTCAGTGGAACAAGAACAGAGCTGGGCAGGATTCACACAACTGAACAATGGGCTACCTTCAAAGAGGAGATGGCTTGTGTACAGTTGAGGTACATTACCTCAAATAGGAAAGGTAGAACAAACAAACAGAGGGTCCCTGGGTGACAAAAGAGATAGAAATTAAGATAAAAGAGGAAAAACAAGCATATGAGAAATGTCTGATAGAAAATAAAATAGAGAACCAAGCAGAATATTGAAGATTCAAAGGGGAGGTGATGAAACAAATAAGACAAGCAAAGAAAAATTATGAGAAAAGACTAGCAGCCAATATAAAGAGGTCTCCCAAAGTCTTCTGTAATAATAAATAGTAAAAGGTTAGCAAAAGGAGGAGTAGAACTGATTAGAGACCAAAAAGGGGATTTGAACCTGGAGGCAGGGCTCACTGCAGAGGTGCCAAATTAATATTTTGCATCTATCTTTACCAAAGAGAGAGATGCTACCCAGTCCATGGTGATAGAGGAGGGAACTCAGTTACTGGAAGTGTTCAAAATTGGTAGTGTTAGACAGACTTTTGGTACTTAAAGTTGACAAGACACCAGGATCAGATGAGATACATCCAAAGATTCTGAAGGAAGTTTGAGTGGAAATTTTAGGGGTACTGACTGCTATCTTTCAGTCTGCCCTCGACTCTGGGGAGGTGCCAGAAGACAGGAAAAATGCAAACATCATGGCCTTGCTCAAGAAAGGTTATAAGGCTAAGCCCAGCTATTACTGACCATCAGTTTAACTTCAGTGATGAGCTTCTAGATACAAAGATTCTGGACACAGTTAGTCATCAAATGGAAAAAGGTAGAGTTATTAGGAAGAGTCAGCATGAATTTCTAAAGGAAAATCATGTTTAACTAATTTGCTGGAGTTTTTTGAAACAGTAATAGAATTGATGAGGATAGTGCTGTTAATGTGGTGTACGTGGACTTTCAGAAGGTGTTTTACACAATGCCACAGAACAGACTTGTCAGACTTATAGGTCATGGTGCAAAGGAATCAGTAGCAACATAAATGCAGCATTGGCTGAGTGTTCGGAAACAGAGAATAATGGTCATTTGATGTTTTTTGAGCTGGAGGAATGTCTATAGTCAAGTTCTCCAGAGGTCACTAAGGGACCCTTCCTTTTCTTGATATATATTAATGATCCAGATCTTGGTGTGCAGGCAACAATTTCAAAATTTGCAGATGACTCAAAACTTGGAAGCGTTGTAAACTGTGAGGAGGACGGTGTAGAACTCCGAAGGATATAGACAAATTGTTGGAATGGACAGAAACACGGCAGTTGAATTTCAAAACGGAGAAGTGTATAGTGATGCATATTGGTAGGAAGAACATTGAAAGATAGTATAAAATAGGAGGTACACTTCTAAGGGGGCTTGCAAGAGCAAGGGACCTGAGTGTATACATGCTCAGATCATTGAAAGTGACAGCACAGCTAGAGAGCAGGAAATAATGCATACAGTATCCTCGGCTTCATTAATAGGGGCAGAGACTAGAAGAGTGATGAGGTGATGTTGAACTTGTATAAGACATTTGTTACTCTGATGTAGTCTTGCATACAGTTCTGAATGCTATGTTATAGGAATGATGGGAATGCATTAGAGAGTACAGATGTGCTTTATAAGGATGATTCCAGGAAGAGGTATTTCAGTCATGAAGAGGATGGATTGAAGAAACTAAGACAGTTCTGCTTAGAGAAGAAGGCTAAGAGGAGAGCTGATAGAGGTTTTCAAAATGATGAGGGACTAGATAGAGCAGATAGATAGAAGTTACTCCCACTTGTAAAAAGAACAAGAACAAGAGAGTGTAGATGTAAGGTGATCTGCACAAGAAGCAAAAGGGAAGTGAGGAATAAATTGTTCACTCAGTAGTTAAGGTATGGAATGCACTGGCTGGAAGTGTTGTGGGAACAGGCTGACTTGAGGCATTCAACAGGACATCGGATGATTATTTGTATAAAATGATGTGCAAATGTATGGGGGAGCAAGGCAATTGGAACTAGGTATTGATGCTCATTTAATGAGCAGTTCACACTTCTGCAATTCTGCTCCTATATCCAATGTTGTTACAATTTCCTTTCCAAAACTGAAGTAGTACAATCACTTTGTTGCTATGCGACTGGAAATGTTTTGATAATTTTCTCCATTTGTGGATAATTTCAAGGAATGGCTTAAAAGTCTTATGAGCGTCAACCCTGAAACATTTCTTTACACTGTTCAATGAAAGGTTGCCATCAAACTATCTGCTTTTAGAAACCTCTATTCCAATTCAGTATTTATTAGCAGCAATTAAATAGTGAAGGAAAAGCTAAAAATCTGTGTTTCCTGTTTTATAACTCAGGCCCTTGTGCCTAGCAGTCCCTTGCACCTTCCAGTGGGACAGAATATGTGCCTAATGTAACAACATGGAAACACAAAGGAGGAAGAAATTGCAGGAGATAAGGGTTGGGAGAGGATTGGAGATTAACAGATCATTACTGAAAAATCTTACTTAGAAAGAAATGGTTTGTGTGAAACTTACATTTAGCAGCTTAACTTTATTATTTGGCAAGGGATCTGGGTGACTATAACCAGGAACAGCTGTAGTGTATGTGAGGTTGGGCTATTTAAAATCAGAATAATAAACTCCTTGCTGAGGTGTGAAAAAGAAAGCTGAATTAATTTGATAAGGTGACAGAACCTGTACTGTCTGTGCCCAAGGTAGGTGAGATGATGGGAGAGTGAGGTGTGGGCGCCAGGGAGGATTCTTTTCTAAGGGACAGCAGTTAATTTGCTGACTTTGTATCAGTGTAAAGCATTTTTCACTTTGAAATAAAAACAGAAATTGCTGGAGAAACTCAGCAGCTCAGGCAGCATCTATGGAAAGCTGAGTTACCGTTTCTGATCCAGTGACCCTTCTGAAGTTCAGTTCAGTTCTGAGGAAGGGTCACTGGATCCAAAATGTTAACTCTGCTTTCTCTCCACAGATGTACCAGACCTGCTGAGTTTCTCCAACAATTTTTACTTTTGGTTTGGATTTCCAGCATCCGCAGTTCTTTTTTCTTTCTCACTTTGACCCTTTTCATGCTGGCTTTAGTTTTTTTATTTGTGTTCAATCTATTTAGATATTCCAGGTAATTTCCTATTAATAATAGTTCAAGTTGAATTCAGTGTGTGTTCAGATTCTTATGTCACCCCTCTGGTGATAAGTAGACATTTGTAATACGGAAACCACCAACCGAACATGACTAACAGGGTGACCAAATTGGCCATCTTGCATTGGACCCAGACACCATGGCCACGTTTAGCACTGGGGCAATAGCACAAAGAAACAAGCCTTTATGAAATGTTGGTTTCCTAATGCACTAGTGGGTAAAAACACCAGTGGAATTCACACCTCGACAAACTGAGAATTATCTACCTGGTTCAGTTTGTCACATGTACTTTGTTGACTGATCTCAGGTGGAGATGCAGTTGAGTCATTATAATTGGCTTCAATGTTGCTGGGCTAAGGAGGATGGAAAGATATTAACCAGTGTTTTCACTCGTAATCATTAACCATAAGATACCTGCTGGAGGGAGGGAAATGGTGTGTGTCATGAAAGGACAAGATCAACTGTGATACTTCCTTGTGTTTTAGTAGATTACTGAATACATTTTTTCAATGTTTAAATGAGTGAATACTGGGTTGCTTGTAGAGTTTTAACCTTGCATGAACTGATGGGGACACACGTGGATATGAACCAGGAGCAGGATTAGGCCATTCAGTCTGCTTGAACCTGCTGTACTGTTGGATACGATCATGGCTGACTGGATTGGAGCCTAAACTCTACTGTCTCCTGCATCCCTATAATCTTTGACTCCCCTGTTGATCAAGAAGCTATATAACCCAGCCTTAAAAATACTCCATGACCCTGCCTCCAGTGTTCTCTGGTGAAGAGAACTCCACAAAATAATGACCCTTTGAGGAAATAAAAAAACTCCTTGTCTCAATCTTAAATGGGAGATGCCTTATATTTGAACTTTGTCTACTGGTTCTTATCTTTGCCGCTTCTCCAATCAGGTGGGACCTTTCCAGAATCAAGGAAGTTTTGAAAAATTAAAACCAGTGAATGCATTATCTTTGCAGCTACTTATTTTAGAACCTAGGAGTTTCTCCTGTTCTCCCATACAGCTACCTCTTGTTTTTTAGGTTTTTGTTTTGAAGTTACAACTAAATCAAGATATATACAGCTAGCGATATTTCACAGTTGATACCCTAGACATGAATGTAGCTGTCCATAAATTAAGGATTAAAATAGTCATTGATGAAATTTTCCATCACTAAATTAAGGAATTGATCAATCTGAAAGCACAGTACCCAGTGGTGAAACTTTTCCTGTATTTCTATGATAAGTTTCTCAAACCTGCTTCAGGAGAGCCTTTTCTCTTTCTAGCTGAAATTCACACATGACAGTAAATCAAAAATTATTTTGGGTTCCTTTACAATCCTATGCTTGAATCATATATGGATTATTTTGATTTATTCGTTGTATTCCTCGAAGATGAATTCATATTCGGATCTATTTTGCCTGCAGCAAAGTCGTTGATGATATTTTCATCACTTAATGGAGAAATTACAAAGTTTGCCTCTCAACTAACAAATCTTTAGTAAATCTTAATCTAAATAGTTTGTGTTACTACAAAGCAAAAACTACCAATATCTCCTTATGCCTGAATTTCACTACTCCTGAGCAATGGAGATCTGCCAACGGCAGATATCTAGTGCAGAACATTGCTATGAACCAGTACTAAGTTTTTTTTTGACCTTGCACAACTGTTTGAAAACCAGACGTAGGAACACATGAATATTTGAATGTTCACCTTGACTAACTAATGATTTGCCATGGTTCAGAGCCATCTTATTGGTCTATAAACAATTTGCCTTCTCTCTCTATGTCTTTGTAGGACTTGGCTCTTCAGTGTTAAGTCATGCCGCATGGTGAATGATTGAAATAGAAGACTGCCATGGCAACATGGGTGGAAGGGAAACCTGCCACAACCCCAAAGAACACATTGAGTGATGTGAATGAAATTGTAAATGATACAAAGTCTCCTTGGGCTTGCCTGAGCCCTCTTTCAGATGCAAGCAATAAAGCCCTTGAACCTGTGACTCCAGTTTCTCCACATTTATTTGATAGTGATTGCAAACTGAATTATAATTTGGGTTCAGTAACCAACCCTGTAGCAGGACCAAAACCAAGACTTACTGCAAAACCGTTCTTTTTGGAAACGTCAGCAGTGCCATACACATCATTCAGAAACACGCAAGCACCTCTCACACCTCCTAAGCCTTTAAGTGTTACTTCTATGTTAACATCATCAAGGAAACTGGCTGCAGATACAGATGATGCAAAAGTGAGCTTCAGGAACACAGAGGCAAAATGTGCATCGAGTGGAACTGTGTTGTCGGTATTGTCTTCCTTTGCACAAAAGTATTCAGTGGGGTCTGACAATAAAAGTCGAATGAGAGCATGCAATTTCCAGGATGGTGATACTGCACTCAACTTAAATTCAACAACAGCACCAACAAATAGCAACATGGTGGTTTCTTCTTCGACTGCCACCTTGAGTTCTGAAAAATCGACAGAAGAAAAGAGTGAATGTTCTGAAACAGAACCAACTACAGTTGTCATTTTGGAAACTTCTGTACAGAAGTTAAAATCAAAGAAGTCCAGTGAAGGCATTAAAGATGCTGAAGTGTGCACAGACAGCAGTCAGGATCAAGAGTCACAAAGTACATTGCAGCCTTTTAAGCTGTCGAGGTTATCCATTCGTTCGAGGAAGTATAGCCCAAGTGCCACACAAGGGTTTGATACACCAAAACCTGAATCACTCTCGAGAGCTTCTTCATTGAGATGTTTAGGAAAATGGGACCTGGTTACAGAAGAAGGGCAAGACAGAATGAAGGATAGTACTGAAAACCCATCTTCACCCAGGCTCCATTTAAAGAAACCTGGTCTATTTTCTGCTTGGCTTTCTGAAACCACAGATGACAACAAATCAGAGAGCACCATAAAACAGGATGAAAAGCCTTTTACTGCTGAAAAACCTTGGCTTAAAAAGCCCAGGCCTTTATCAATGGACCTTACAGCCAGATTTGAAACCTCGGCTCACAAGAGAAATATTCCTCCCTCAGTGGACATTAAAAAAAATGTCCCCATTATTAAAGCTAATAGTGCAGTCTCCTCAGATACCAGCCATAGTGCAGGAGTTGAACAGGAAGACTCAGCAGCAGTGGCAGAAAAGTGCCAGTCTTCAGCTTCTCCAAATGACCAAGAAGACAAGACAGATAGCTGCATTATTGTGGTGAAAGATAAGTTTGATAAATGCCCAAAGGTGGATGATAGTGAAAAAAATATCAAGGCACTCCCACTGTGTGACAGAAACAGCAAAGAGAAAATTACTTCTCTGGAAAGAAAGATTGCGTGGGAATGTGACCCTACTGACACCAAAATCACTGCTGGTCAGGGGAAAGAGGAAAAGGAAGAAAGAATATTTACCACATCATTAAAAACTGACAAGGAGAAGTTAGAACCTGACCATGAGCAATTTAAAAAATGGACAAATAAGGAGTTGGATAAAGAATGTTCTGATCTTGACCGAACATCAAAGGATGAAATCTCACCTTTGGGCTCAGGTGATCAGGGAAGTAGAGGAAATAAAATTTCTGGTGGAATGATTAAAAGGCGCATAACTCTCCTCTTAGATTCTGCTGGCGGGAGCACAGCAAAAACAGACTGTTCGCAGTCTACCACTGAGACAGAAAAGGTAGACATTCCTGTCCGGCAACGAATCCAAACCTTTACTTCAGAGAACAAATATTCCAAACGAGAACAACTCCAGAGTTCCCAAAGACAATCATTTAAGCCCAGACCTCTGTCTTCAGACATAACCAAAAGGTTTGTGGAGTTTAAAATCTTGTAAGTGTTTGATGTTAAGTAATTTTTTTAAGTTGCAAGTCGTCATATTCACGTTTTTGTCATGTGCCTAGTTAATGTTGTGTCTGAATAAACACTCACGTTGGTGTGGTGGCATCCTGACAATTTCTATCATGAAAAGTAAAAGCAATTCAAGAGAATAAATATATCCGAATCCAATTACTACAATGTGCTTATTTTCATCAGGGATCCATCTAGTGTTCAGTTAGCAATATGCAGCTATCATACTTTCCAGTACCTCAGCTTTTTCATCAATTTTGTTTAATGTGATTTGAAGGTATGTGAGTACGGCTCTTGGGTGACTAAACAATAATTTCCTCCCTGCCTTTTGTCATAATAGCACTTCTGACACTAGTACTTTACACTATTGGGAAATCCCAGCTGCAAATACATGCTATTCTGCTCCATGGCTGGTGATTTTACCTGTTAATGATTCATAGAATCCCTACAGTACAGAAACAGGCCATTTGGCCCATTGAGTCCATACTAGCCCTCTGAAGAGCATCTCACACAGACCCATCCTCCTACACTATCCCTGTACCCCTGTATGTTGCATGGCTACTCCACCTGGTTGCACATCCCTGGATGCTATGGGCAATTTAGCACGGCCAATCTACCTAACCTGCGTATCTTTGGACTGTGGGAGGAGACTGGACCACCCGGAGAAACCCACACAGACACGGGGAGAACATGCAAGCAGCACATAGGCTGTCACCTGAGGGTGGAATCAAACCTGGGACTCAAGCACAATGAGGCAACAGCGCTAACCACTGAGCTAATGAACAGAGTTAGTGAAAATTAGACCTGTAATCATCTATTTGTCCATGATAATGCAGACAAGCTAAAATACCTCATCCAGATTTGCTAAAGCATTTTACAACATTACTGAGTGAGGTATTTTCACCAATCAGGTAAAAATTGTCTACCCTTCATTGTCCATTATGCTCTATATTTAAAGGGCTGTTTTCTCATAGATAAATCTTTACAAGTTTAAAGCATGGAAGGTTGTTTGATATTTAAAGGGCTGTTTTCTCATAGATAAATATTTTTCAAGTTTAAAAGCATGTAAAGTTGTTTGCCATCCTGTACAAACTTCCCAACAGGTTTGAGACTCAAACAATTGGCGATGAAGGTCATCACGAGAAGCAGATGGATATGACTACCTCTTCATCTCCAGACCATTCGATCTTGCAAAACACTCAAGAACAGGATGGGAGGGAGAGCCGAGAAAAAGAAATTGATGATCAAAAGGACGTGGTAATGACTTCCACCCTTTCAAAAAAAAATTTTGCTTTTCATTTGATTGCTGTTGCAAAGTAAATCTCACCCTGTGCGACCAAAACAAAAGTCTTTAGTTTGTTGGAGAGCCATTGATGCTGCTTGACTCTGAATGAAGAGTTTTATTTACAAGCTTAAAATCGTGTGGCCTCATATGAAAACCATTATTCAGTCACAAGAAAGAATACCAACAGAACAAAGAATCTTAACAACAGCAATCAGTAGCAATCTACAGAGATTTCTGCAGCATTGCTCGCTTAGATTAAAATGTTTCTATTAATATTCTGGTTAAAGTGGGAGATCTACTTGATGACTGATTACTGGATCTGATTAAAGGTTCAGTCCCTGAGCCGTGAAGGGTGGGACAGTGCAGATGTAGCCAATTGAAGCACAATGAACAATTGTTAAACTTTAATTTCTCATGTCTAGGATGTTTGTTGCTTTATGAATAATCAAAAGCTTTAATTTAAATAATAGATCTTACAGTTTCCAAACGGTGAATGGGTAATAAATTTCAACTTCAGATTGGAAGTATTACTTGAACTTAGGATCGCAAAAAGCCCTCATTGTTCGAATAGCAAGCCTATGTGTGATATGAGAATTTAGGTACGAAAGATATTTGATGGCATGTTGTAAACATGGCTGTTTTATTATAATTTCGGCCCTTGTTGGAGGTAATGGATTCAAGTGTGTTCCTGAGAGAGTGTTGCACTGTCAGATGTGCTGCCTTCCAGAGATGTTAAATCAGGTCCCCGTCTGCTCTCCTGGCACTATTTCATGGATGAGCAGTGAAGTTATCTCCTAGTGTTCTGTTTAATGTTTAGCCCTTGATCAACATCACTGCAAACAAATTATCTGGTCATTGTCACATTACGATATGCAAATTGGGTGTTGTGTCCTACATTACAGTTGTGACTATTCTTCAAAAACAAAGTACATTGTTAGCTGTGAAGGGCCATGGGACGTTCTGAGGCCACAAAGGTGTTACACACAACTGGTGTTTATTCCAAGCCTTAAAGAAAGAGGACTAAATCTGCTACATAGTGTGGAAATGAATTAGACAGACCTAAAAGATCCAAATTCATCTGCTGTTTGTGCTGAGTCAGTTGAAGCACTGCAATTGGTCATTGTGCCTTGAGGCTAGGAGGGGAAGGTTTCTGCTCCTGGTAACTTATCTGGTGAGTTCAGTTGGAAAGTGCTTCTGGAAACATTGGGTGAGGGTAGGATTGATTTTGGTTGTGATTCCAGCTAGCAAGAATAGCCTAATTCAATCACCAATGGATCAGCATCTTTAACTGATTTTTCCTTACCTAAGAGAATCAATTGCCAATCCATTGCTTGATCTCTGAAGATTATGGGACATGGTTTCCTAGGAACTCTTATTACCCATTGTCTAATTTCTGGACCCACCTCACACCTTCCCCCCAACAAACGAACCAATTAAAAATCATAACAAAGAAGCCTGATTTCCAAAAATTTATTCAAAGGATAGAAGCCTCGTTTGCCTGTCCCAAAATGTCTATACCTCAGGAGAATGGTATCCTGGATACAGTCTAGTGACAGGAAGAGAGAGATTGTACTTCGAAGCTATCGTAAATGATAGGTACAATGTCTAGCTAATTGCGTGTCAACCAATTTCTGAGGAAGGGCCACTGGACCTGAAACATTAACTCTGACTTTTTCTTCACAGATGCTGCCAGACCTGCTGAGCTTTTCCAGCAACTTCTGTTTTTGTTCCTGATTTACAGCATCCACAGTTCTTTCAGCTTTTATTTGGAAGCAAGTATACCTGGTAACAGAAAGGAAAAAGGGCAAGTAAAATGAGAAAGCAGGCAAATCAAAAGAAAGCATCAAGCGAGCTTAGAATGCAGAACAACGTCAAAAAGACAAAATTAAGGGGACTTTACATGAAAGTACACAGCTTTCACAACAACATAAATGATTTGAGGCCAAAATTGGAGGTAAATGGAAATGATCTAATTGTCGTTACAAAAATGGGGTGATCAAGACTGGGAACTGCATAATCAAGTATAGTCAACATTTAGGAAGCTTGGGGATAAAAGAAAATAGAGGTGTTATTGTGCTGATAATATGGGATAGAATCAGTACTTCAAGGGAGGATGTCAAATCAGAAGAATAAATGAAGAATTTGAATGGAGTTCTTTATATTTCACCAGTAGAGATACAGTACAGTAATAAGCAGGAGATTAGAAGAATCTGTAGCCTGGGGTAATACAGGAATCATGGGTGACTTCAATCTGCATGTATAATTATATTATCAACTAGATTAAGTGAATGAGTACTAAAGCTGTGCAGGATGAGTTTCTGGAATGTGTTAGGGATGGTTTTCTAGAGCAGTATGTTGAGGAATTGACTTTTTTAGATCTTGTGCAATGAGAAAAGGCCACTTAATAATCTTGCTGTAAAAGACCCTTGAGGGTGTCATGACAATACTATGGCAGAATTTTACATTGGTTTGAAAATAAGGTAGTTCAATCTGTGGTCAGGTTGCCAATTTTGAGCAAAGGAAATTATGATGCTATGAGGAGCAAATTGCCTAAAGTGGATTGGAAAAATATATGGAAGGGTACGACGGTGTGAAAAGGTATGTTAACCTTTATCACAACAGTATTTGAGTACAGGAGAAGCAAAGTCTTTCTTCAATTGTATAGATTCATGACTGGACCCTGCCTGGAGTAGTGTTTGTAATTTTGGACTTTTACCTTAGGAAAGATATTACTGGTATCAACAAATGTTCACCAGACTTGTTCCTGGAATGGCATGACTATCTTATGAAGAGATATTGGGAAAACTGGGCTGTATTCTGTAGAGGTGAGAGGTGACTTGGAAATTGTATGTTTTTTTTAAGAAGGCCTATAACGTTAGCAAGTAAACCTGAGGATTAGCATAATTGAGAAAACAACAAAGGAAGACAAAGAAACTGATAGGGGAAATCGAATATGAATATAGACGAACAAAAAATATAAAATAGTGCTGTAAAGACTTCCATAGGTATGTAAAAATGAAAAGTTTGACTAAGGCATGTGTCAGTCCTACAAACAGGAGCATGAGAATTTTTATAACTGGGAACAGAGAAATGGCAGAGAAACTAAATGATTACTTTTGAGTCTTCACTGAGGAAGATACAAGAAGTCTCCGAGAATTAGAAACCTAAATGACTAGGGAGAATGAGGAAATGAAAGACATTAGTATTGGTAAGAGTGTTGTGTTTGAGAAATGAATGGAACTGAGAATCGGAGACAACAAGGTGCAGGGCTGGATGAACACAGCAGGCCAAGCAGCATCATAGGAGCAGAGAGGCTGACGTTTCGGGCCTAGACCCTTCATCAGAAAAGGGGGAGGGGAAGGGGGTTCTGAAATAAATAGGGAGAGAGTGGGAGGCAGATAGAAGATGGATAGAGGAGAGGATAGGTGGAGAGGAAACAAACAGGTTGAAGAGGCGGGGATGGAGCCAGTAAAGGTGAGTGTAGGTGGGGAGTTAGGAAGGGGATAGGTCAGTCCAGGGAGGACGGACAGGTCAAGGGGGTGGGATGAGGTTAGTCGGTAGGAGATGGAGGTGCGGCTTGAGGTGGGAGGAGGGGATAGGTGGGAGGAAGAACAGGTTAGGGAGGCAGGGACGAGCTGGACTGGTTTTGGGATGCGGTAGGGGAAGGGGAGATTTTGAAACTTGTGAAATCCACAGTTCATCCACTTCACTAACACCTTCCACCCCAACCTTAAGTTTACCTGGACCATCTCTAACACCTCTCTCCCCTTCCTGGACCTCTCTGTCTCCATATCGGGCAACCACCTAGAAACCGATATTCATTTCAAGCCCACCGACTCCCACAGCTACCTAGAATACTCCTCCTCCCACCCACCTTCCTGCAAAAATGCTATTCCCTATTCCCAATTCCTTCGCCTCCGCCGCATCTGCTCCCAGGATGAGGCATTCCTCTCCCGTACATCTCAGTTGTCCTCGTTTTTCAAGGACCATAACTTCCCCCCCTCGGTGGTCGAGAACGCCCTCAACCGTGTCTCCCACATCTCCCGCACCTCATCCCTCACACCCCATCCACGCAATAAGAACCAAAAAAGAATCCCCCTCGTCCTCACGTACCACCCCACCAACCTCCGGATCCAACGCATCATCCTCCGACACTTCCGCCATCTGCAATCCGACCCCACCACCAAAGACACCTTTCCCTCCCCACCCTTATCTGCTTTCCGGAGGGACCACTCTCTCCGTGACTCCCTTGTCCGCTCCACACTCCCCTCCAGCTCCACCAAACCCGGCACTTTTCCCTGCAACCGCAGGAAGTGCTACACCTGCCCCCATACCTCCTCCCTCACCCC